GAACCTGCCACCTTAGGTGTATATGGCTGGCACCTTAGCCACTTGAGTCACAGGTGCCGAGCCAAGCTTGAACTTCTGTTTAGGTTGAAGAGTTGGACAGATAATAACGGTCCTGCCAACCCATGAGGTCCCATCTAAGTGGTCTTCCCATGATGGGACACCTCAACTTCCTTACTCTACCTTCAAAGACAGGGAAAGGATAGGAAGCCAGCTCAGATGAGATCTTATACTCACAAGAACAGAATACAGAGAAGAAAAAAAGCAGTACAGGCGCTTGGCAGGATTGTCGGATTTCTTGTTAGCATTACAGAGCCACTGCACAGCAGAAATGCTGAAAGGAAAGGACTCAGTCAGGAAAGGGATCAATCCCCATGCTCCCATCCTCTTCACTTCAGGACCCTGGCACCACCCATCCTGGATCTTCAGCTGAAACCCTCCTCCCACAGCTTCCCTCCTTGGCAAAGTATAGGTCCACTACAGGCCATGACTCCGCAAGAGTGGACTAACATGGTATGTGGAAAGGCAGTACATTTTATGTCCCTCACCCACTCCCAGGAATCATTTTCTCAGACTTGTTTCTACATGCACTCCAAGTTTAAAATCACTTAGTGTACCAAGTGACCAAATGAGGGGTCTCTGCCCACCGACCCCTCATTTCCTTCCTCCATTCAAAGCAAACAAAATTTATAGTACTTAGACATCCATTCATTCACCTTTCTCCTAAATCATTTCCTTCCACTGACCCTATTAAGAGTCTTCACAATCCCCAGATTTAACAATGACCAGATTTCTTTTTAGACAGAGTCTCACTTTGCTTCCCTCAGCAGATTGCTATGGCATCACAGCTTACAACAGCCTCAAACTCTTGGGCTTAAGCGATCCCCTTGCCTCAGCCTCCCAAGTAGCTGGGACTACAGGTGCCAGCTTTCACTTCGACCACTGCTGAGAATTCCTAACTGTCTTGAATGTTTCAACAACCTAACCTCACTCTTCCACCTAAAAATCACCTTCCCTAAACACAGATCTGATCCCATCACTTCCCAGCTCCCTATTATTTATTGAATAAAGCCCCACTTTCTTGGCTTGCAGTTAAACAAGAAAGTTTTCTAAGAACACACAGTTTGTTTCCATGAAATTTCTCACTCATCTCTTTCATCTGACTTCTGTCTCACTAGCTTCTGTGCCTTTGTTCATACTTTTCCGTCACTCAGAAACACTCTCCTTGGCTATCCAAATTCCTCCAGGTCTTCAAGGTCCAGCCCCTCTGCTTCTTAAGGCTTCCCTGGCTCTCATGCTCTTCACTCAACAGGTCCCACAATTCCTTGGAGCACAGCACATGCAGGCTTGCGTCACAACCTAATAAACAACTAAGATTGTCTTAAAGTAGAGTTTCCATACTCCAAGGCACCTTACACAAAATCTTATGTACAAAAAATATTCAAAAAAAAAAACCAAACAAAAGCAAACTTGCTATACCATTTCTCCATTTAAAAAGAAACAAAGAAGACTATTTACTTATAAAACATACAGAGCACACTAGCCTTTTGGGGTGTGCTTAAACAATTTTAAACACATCGTGTGATCATTAGGAAAAAGCAATTGCTACCTTTAAAACAATCCCCTCCACCCCGGATTCTTCCCAGATAGAAAAAAAAAAATCTTTAAATCCAAAATTTTTTTACTCTTCACTCAGATCCCTACCCTGCCTCCCTACCACTCAACCTAGGATCACTGAAAGTGGTCTCCCTCCAAGGTAATGATTTTAACTTCCTTCCCACCAACTAAACACTACATTGAATACTAAACAGAACTTACCACAAAAGGCAAAGAAAAAATTTATAACAGTAATTTTTTAATGTTCTAATATCTGTTACTAAAGTACTATCCACAAACCCAACACCTAACCTGATGACTAAGGACTCCAAACCCACTGAAAAGATTAGAGCATTCCAAGCTGCTCTCCACTAGAGTTCCTCAAAAGGAAAACAAGATGGCTGCTAAGGCTCACAAGATGGCCTCTGGAGGCTCAAAGACCCTCTCTCTCCCCAACCAGGCACACAAAGCAGACACAGAATCCATACCAGTAGTGCCTGAACATGGCAATGCAAGATTTTCACAGCAGTAGACATTTCGAAATGGAGGAAAAACCCTCAAAAAAAATTCTTGGGCCTTGCTCTGACCTTATAAATCTGAAAATCCCAAGGGATGCATATTTTTAAGTATCCTGTGTGACTTTTCTATACAGCCAAACTTGGGAAACACTGGCCCGCAGGACTAAAGGCAGGAAGTTAAGACCTTCACCTGATACAACCATCAAAGGTACCCGGTTTGAAGGGGACACCCTGGCCCATGTCCCCTAGAAGCAGGTCTCCCTCTGTGTCTCGGTCCAAGGCTGCATCTACATTGGGGAATAGGAAGTCAGGGAAAGAGAAAATATGTATAGCTGTTCCATACTCATGAGAGTAGTTGACTCTGATGTCAAACAGGACATACTTACCCAGCATGGCAGGACTGATGTCGAGGCCCACCCAGTAGTGCCCCTGATCTGAGAGATAATCTCCACTCAGCCCAGAACCACAGCTGAAAGACACAAATAGTGACCCAGCATGAGTAGCAAAAACACTCCACCACCAAGATAATAATCTGAACCAGTCCCCAGGATCTCACCCAATATCCAAGAGGTAACAGGGCTGACCCTCAGGCAGACAAAGGAGTTCCAGGGCTCTCCCAGCCATCTTGGTCTGGACATCAACCATCCGTGAGCTGAGAAGGCAGACACACAGTGAGTGATAAAGGAGTTTTTGTATAATATCTCTCTCATCATTGATCCAAAAAAGCCAAGGGAAGAAAAAAGGATTACCTTGAGGTACTCCTTCATCTATTAATTCTAACTCGGGATCAACAAACTCAACTATACCGTTCAGATATAGTGAGGTAACGTAAATAGGGAGACAAGATAAGCATCATCAGAATATTATCTCCTTTCCCCCCCAATAGTACTGACTCCTTACCTGTACTCACTGCATACTGCCTATGTTACCACACGCTTTAAAGCAGCAGCTATCTAGCCAGGCGTTGTGGCAGGCGCCTGTAATCCCAGCTACTCGGGAGGCTGAGACAAGAGAATCGCTTGAGCCCAAGAGTTGGAGGTTGCTGTGAGCTGTGATGCCACAGCCCTCTACCTAGGGCGAC